TAGTTCCCATTGGCTTGGAGGAGGGGAGGATCCCTAGTTCCCATTGGTTCAGGGGAGGGGGAGGATCCCTAGTGCCCATTGGCTTGGAGGAGGGGAGGATCCCTAGTTCCCATTGGCTCAGGGGAGGGGGAGGATCCCTAGTTCCCATTGGCTCAGGGGAGGGGAGGATCCCTAGTTCCCATTGGCTCGGGGGAGGGGAGGGGAGGATCCCTAGTTCCCGTTGGCGAGGGGTGGGGGGGAGATCAAGGTCCCACTGGCACGGGGGCAGTAGGTTCTGTGGTCTGGGTCTCCGCGCGTGGGGTACCTCTCGCCTGTTGCCCCTGAAGGCCGACAGCTTCTTGCCATAGTCCTTCTCCTGCAGGGCTTTCAGCCGCTTGGCCTCATCGCGTAGCCTGGTGGTGAACTCGTGCTCCTGGCGCTCCCGGGCCTGCCGATGGTGCCGCTCCAGGCTCTCCACCTCATGGTCATAATACTGCTTCTTACTCTGTGCGTGTGCAGAGCAGGGAGCTTACATGCGTGTTCCTCCCACTCACCGAATCAAATAATATCGGGGGACACAAGAGGGGCCGAGCCCCAGACAGCGTCGGCCTCTCTGAACTGCAGGGATTGCAGTTCCTAGGCAAGCGCCTGGCTCCACACCTCTGGGCTCCTGCCGCACTGGGTGTCCCTCGAGGCGCTGGGAAGTGCAGCCACCCAACACGGGGGACACGAGCCAGTGCACGTCTCCAGCGGGATGCTGAGCTCTGTGCAGAGCACAGGCCCTGCGCCGGGAGCTCGGGAAGGGCGGATGTGGGCAGAGCCCACTGAAAATGATGGTTTATTTGTCTCACCACAGTGCCTAGGAGCCCCAGTCCTGGCTGCTTACAGCCACAGAACACGGGACGTGACCTAGGAAGTGTCTGGAGATGTGGAAACAAGCCCCCAATCAGTGACAGCATGTGAACAAACAACAGACAGCACCAGCCACGGCTCACATTCTCAGACGTGGCCACTGATTTGTGTGCCCAGCTTGGGACACTGCTGGGATCCTGATTTGCAGGTGGGCTGAGTGCCTGCAGCGCCAAAGGACTTCAGTGACCCTCAGCCCTTCTGGAAATCAGATTCAGGGCATCTCAAGCCAGACACCGAGAAATGAAGGCCCCTCCAACCCCGGACGGCTTTGAAAGCTGGGGCCTAGGCCTCAGGCAGCTGTCACGAAGCATGTCTAGGGTGATCATACGTCCCGTTTTGGCCAGGACAGTCCCTTTTTTAAGCCCTGTGCTGGCCAGCCCGACGTTTGTGGCAAAAGGGGGCATTTGTCACGTTTGCTCTTGCCAACTGGATCAAACAAGAGCAAACAGGACAAATACCCACCTTCATCAAAAAAGTGGGGTGCAGAGGAAGGGTGATGCCAGCCCCGCACAGCGGGAAGGCAGAGCTCAGGTGGGGGACAAGCAGGGCTCGAGTGAGCAGTGCAGGGAAGGGGGGCAGGGCTCGGGCCAGGGACTCAGGTGAGCAGCGACACCAGCCCCGCATGGGGAGGGAGGCTTGGGTGAGCAGCTCAGGCTAGCCCTGCACCAGGGGGAGGGGACCTTGGGCTAGCCCCATGCACTGTCCTGTTTTCCCTTTAGGAAATATGGTCACCCTAAGCATGTCCCATCTGGAGCGGTGCTGGATTGGGAGCTGGGAATAGGAGGGATTGAGACCTGTGATGATTTTCAGTTCATAGAATTGTAGACTATCAGGGTTGGAAGGGACCTCAGGAGGTCATCTAGTCCCAACCCCTGCTCAAAGCAGGACCAATCCCCAGACGGATTTTGCCCCAGATCCCTAAATGGCCCCCTCAAGAATTGAACTCTCAACCCTGGGTTTAGCAGGCCAATGCTCAAACCACTGCGCTATCCCTCCCCCAAGTGCCCCAAGCTCCCCAAGTTCTGAACGGCATACGACTACGCCATGGAGATGAGAGCAGTCGCACCCTGCCCCAGGGGCCGTGGGCCTGTCCAGCCTGGCAGCGCCACTCGCAGGGCCCGGCTGACAGCCGCTAAGATGGTTACCGTCATTTCCTGCTCAATGTGGCGGAACATCTGCTCCCGCTGCTGATGGAGCTTCTGCTCCAGCTGGCTCTGGGCTCGCTGCTCTTCCTTCTGGAGAAGGCGGAGTTCATGCAGCTCCTGGCGCCTGGCGACCGGGAGACAGACCCCCAGACAGGGCAATGGTGGGGAGATGCATTGGCAAGCAATAAGCAACCTCCTGAAACTTCAGCCATTTTCAGAACCAAACTCGACCCCAAACGGTTTTTTATTTGTCTCCTGAGGTGAGACTGGCCCAGCTCTGGCTCTAGCCACACTGACAATTTCACAGGGAAGCCTGCTCTTGAGTTTTACCACAAGTTTGCAAACTCCACTGACTTCAATGGAGTGGCGCCACTAGAGAATCTAGCCCTGTGCAGATATAGAAATCCCCTATGTTTGGACGGTTTCCTGCCTCTTCCCACTGGAGCCGCAGATTGGCAGGGCAGCTGCCACCCTGAGTGTAAATGTGGCTATAGAAAAAGGTTTGAAACCTTTAGGCCAAATTCATTCCTGGAGTAACACCAGCGTCCTCAGTAACTGGGATGCAATAACTGCGAACATGCATGGGGATTAGAAACGTTCCTGCACACACTCTCCTTTACTTAAGATGAGCTACTGCCCACAACAACAATGTCCAACATTTGTACAGAGACGTCCCTCCCAGACCCAACGCGCGCTGTCTGCAGGCAGCCTCCCACATGCCAGCACACACTGTCTGCAGACATCCCTCTGAGACCACACACCAGCACACACTGTTGCCAGATGGGGGCGCTCTAAAACAGAAGGTGACTTGCTCAGCCAGTCAGTGGCAGAGCTGTGAGCAGAATCTAACCCTCCCCTCTCATGCTCTAACCCCCGTGCTTCTCACCCTGCCAGGTGATGTTCCCTTTTCTGCATCATGACTTTCCCTTCCCATCTCCTATTTAACAATATGGGAAGGGCAGGATGCTCTCAGCCCTCACCCTGAGAGCCCCTGCTGTCATCATTCGGCTATATCCCCTCCCAGTCGGCCAAGTGCCCCTTACCGAGCCGAGCGCATCTTCTCGCCCTTTGTATCCACCTCACTGATGGTCTTTGAGGTTGTCACGCTGACCTCCTTCCCATCCACAACAAACTTCCTGGTTTTCTTCACTGTTCTTCTTAGGGAGACAGCCTCCTGAGACCAGAAACAGGGGGTTATGTTCACAACAAGCCTAGAATCCACTCATTCAAAGAGACAAACCCAACAAAACAGCTGATGTGGAGGCAGCTTGAACCTCCACCACATAATTCCACTTGCTTATGTATCACTCAGACCAGGGAGATGCTCTGTTCTTACTCAGGGGAACTCCCAGCGAAGCCAAATCACAGCCTGAGCAAGGACTGAGTAAAAACTCAGATTCATAGACTTTAAGGCCAGAAGGGGCCATCGTGATCATCTAGTCTAGTCTGACCTCCTGCACGTCACAGGCCACAGAACCTCGCCCGCCCACCCCTGTAATAGACCCCTCACCTCTGGCTGAGTTACTGACGTCCTCAAATCACACTTTACAGGCTTCAAGGTACAGAGAATTCACCATTTACACTAGTTTAAACCTGCAAGTGACCAGTGCTCCACGCTGCAGAGGAAGGTGAAAAAACTCCAGGGTCTCTGCCAATCTGACTTGAAGGAAAATTCCTTACTGACCCCAAATATTGCGACCAGTTAGACCCTGAACATGTGGGCAAGATCAACCCAGCAGATACCTGGAAAAGAATTCTCTGTAGTAACTCAGAGCCTCCTCATTTAGTGTCCCATCTCCAGCCTTTGGAGATATTTGCTGCTAAATGTTGCAGATTGGCTACATGCCATTGTAGGCAGTAACACCATCCCATCCCCTCCATACACTTATCAAGCTCAGTCTTGAAGCCAGTTAGGTTTTTTGCCCCGCACTGCTCCCCAGAACTGCTGTTCCAGAACTTCACTCCTCTGATGGTTAGAAACCTTCATCTAATTTCAAGCCTAAACTTGTTGATGGCCACTTTATAGCCATTTGTTCTTGTGCCAACATTGGCCCTTAACTTAAATAACACCTCTCCCGCACTGGTATTTATCCCTCGGATGTATTTATCCCTCAGCCTACATTTGGTTAGGCTGAACAAACCAAGCTCTTTGAGTCCCCTCTCATAAGATAGGTTTTTCGTTCCTCAGATCATCCTAGTAGCCCTTCTCTGTACCTGTTCCAGTTTGAATTCATCTTTCTTAAACATGGGAGACCAGAATTGCACACGATATTCCAGATGAGGTCTCACCAGTGCCTTGTATAACAGTACTAACACTTCCCTGTCTCTACAGGAAATACCTCACCTGATGCAACCTAGGATTGAATTAGTCTCTCTCATAACCACATCACATTGGCGACTCATAGTCATCCTGTGATCGACCAATAGGCCCAGGTCTTTCTCTTCTGTCACTTCCAACTGATACGTCCCCAGTTTATAGCAAAAATTCTTGTTGTTAGTCCCTAAGTGCATGGCCCTTTCACTGTGCACTATTAAATTTCATCCATTTCTATTACGTCAGTTTTCTTGATCATCCAGATCTTCTTGTATGATATTCCGGTCCTCTTCTGGATTGGCAATACCTCCCAACTTTGTGTCAGCCACAAATTTTATTAGCACACTCCCACTTTTTGTGCTAAATTCATGAATGAAAATGTTAAATAAGATTGGCCTCAAGACCAATCCCTGAGGAACCTCCCTCAAGCCTGACAGTTCACCTTTCAGCATGACCCACTGTAGTCTCCCCTTTAAACAGTTCCTTACCCACCTTTCAGCTCTTGTATTAATCCCCATCTTCTCCAATTTAACTAATAATTTCCCATGTGGAACTGTATCACATGCCTTACTGAAATCCAGACAGATTAGATCTACTGCATTTCCTTTGGCTAAAAAATCAGTTACTATCTCAAAAGAAGGAGATCAGGTTGGTCTGGAACTCTCTACCTTTTGTAAAACCATGTTGTATTTTATCCCAATTACCATTTACCCTTGTGTCCTTAACTACTTGCTTTCTCTTTCAAAATTTGTTCTAAGACCTTGCAGGCAACTGAGGTCAAACTAACAGGTTTATAGTTTTCTGGAATACTTTCCCCCCCTTTCTTAAAAATAGGCACTATATTAGCCATTCTCCAGTCATAGAGTACGACCTCCCGAGTCTACAGGTTCATTAAAAATCCTTGCTATTGGGCTTGCAATTTCATGTGCTGGTTCCTTTAATATTCTTGGATGGAGATTATCCGGGACCCCCAATTTGATCCTGTTAAGCTGTTTGAGTTTGACTTCTACCTTGCATGTGGTAATTTCTACTTCCATATCCTCATTTCCATTAGCTACCCTGCCACTACCCCTAAGATCCTCATTATCCTTATTAAAAACTGAGGCAAAGTATTTGTGTAGGTCTTGTGTCCCGGCCTAGATTATCTTTAATCTCCACCCCATCCTCAGTGCTTAGCGGTCCCACTTCTTCTTTCCTTGTTTTCTTTTTATTTATATGGCTATAGAACCTTTCACTATTGGTTTTAATTCCCTTTGCTAGGTCCAACTCTGCTTGGCTCTTGGCAGTTCTCACTTCACCCCTACAGTTTCTGACCTCTGAGCGGTAGCTTTCCTTGCTGATCCATCCTTTCTTCCATTCCTTGTAGGCTCTCTGCTTTCTCTCAATCGCCTGTTTGAGATGCTTGTTCAGCCAGCTTGGTCTGTAACCCTTCGCTGCGAATTGTTTCCCCTTGCTTGGGATGCAGGCTTCAGATAGCTTCTGCAACTTGGACTTAAAGTAATTCCACGCCTCCTCCACATTCAGATCCTTGAGTTCTTCAGTCCAGCCCGCTTCTCTAACTAATTCCCTTCATGTTTTCAAATTTGCCCTTTGGAAATCAAGGCCCCTAGTTGCAGATCGATTTGTGTTTATCCTGCCATTTAGTTTAAACTGAATTTGCTCATGATCACTCTAACCAAGGTTGTCCCCTACAACCAACTCTTCAGTGAGGTCCTCACTACTCACCAATATCAAATTTAAAATGGCATCGCCTCTTGTAGGTTCGGTGATTATTGGGTGAAGAATCTGTCAGCTGTCACATCCAGGAAAACCTAGGCCCTACTGTTATTAGCAGCACTTCTCCTCCAATCTATATCTGGGAAGTTAAAGTCTCCCATAATCACACAATTCCCAGTAGTATGTATTTCATTAAAAATAAAAGCGATTTCTATCCATATCCAGATTGGATCCTGGCAGTCTGTAGCATACCCCAAGCATTATCCCAGTGGAGCCTCTGGTACCTCTTTTCCCCAAAGTGTTTTTACCTAAACAGATTCTGTTTTATCCATTTCATCACTTCTAATTTCTTTATAGTCTACCTTGTCATTAATATACAATGCTACTCCACCGCCTCTACCTTTATTTCTGTCTTTCCTGAATAGCAGGTACCCTTCAATACCTGTGCTCCACTCATGACTACTATCCCACCATGTTTCTGTTATCCCGCTCACGTCTGGTTTAATCTTCCTGCACCAGTAGCTCGACTTCCTCCATTTTGTTACACAGGCTCCTTGCATTGGTGTACAGTTATCTGAGTTGTTTCTGCTCAGCTTCGTCCAAATTCCTCACCAGATCATCGCCAATATCACCTACCAGATTTAGTGCCATTGATATCAACACTGTCTTTCCTCTTGATGTCCACTCTCTTGCCCTCTGTTGTTCCTTTCTCCATTGCTGTATCCTCTTACTTGATTTTCCTCCCGCTCAATATTAGAATCAGGTGTTGAGATTACATGAGCATCTCCCAACCATCTCCCCCAAATTCCTAGTTTAAAGCTCTTTTAATCAGTTGTGTCAACCTCCATCCCAGAAGTCTATTTTCCTCCCTACTCAGGTGGAGTCCATCCCAGGAGAACAGTCCTCTGTCAGTGAATGCCTCCCAGCAGTCAAACATCCCAAAGCCCTCCAGATGTCTGAGCATCTGTTGATCAACATCTTGTCTCACCTTCACTCTCCTCTTCTGGGGACAGGTACAATCCCACTGAAGATCACCTAAGCCTCCATTTCCTTAAGTGTCTGTGTCATTTGTTCCCACATGAAGGACAGTCAGTGGATTCTTTCCTGTTCACATTAGGATCCTCTTTGGCCTCAGGTCCACATCCTGTATCTTAGCTCCTGTCAGACAGTGCACCCTTCTGTTCTCTGGATCAACTCTGGTGACAGGCCTGTCTGTTCTTCTTAGTAGGGAGTCCCCAATTGAATAGACCTTCCTCTTCCTGGTGTTGGTGAGATTCTCCAGCCTTCTGTTCTTTCAGGCTGCCTTTTGTCCTTTGTTCTCACTTGCAATGTTCTGCAAATCATCCTCTGTTCTCCTGGGGCTCAGAAATCCAGCTATCTCCATTGACTTTTCCCCTCTTCTTGTAAGACTAGCTGCTCTTCTCTTCTTCCTGGCCCTCTCACCCTCTCTGCCATGCCCCTTCACTTTCCAACTCAGCAAACCTCTTCCTCAGCTCTATTTCTCCTTCACTCACCAGTTGTTTCCTCGGCTTGTTCTCATAGTCACATGCTTCCACTGGCCCTTTTACCCTCACAGTTCTCCAGTCCAGCTTGCATCTCCAAGTCTTGAGTTTTCCCTTCAGCCTCCTTCCTCTTGCCTTCCCTTCTTCATCCATTCAAATCCCCTTTGAAAATTCAACCATAGTTTCTACCTGCATCTCCAAACCTTGGATCTTCTCTTCCATCCCATCTATCAGCAGCACTTCACACAAACAAAGCTCTTTTCTGGTACCTGCTCCAGGATAATGTACATCCCGCAGCTTCCCCATCCAGTCATCTTCATTGTCTCTTCCATTTCTTGGGTCACTACTACTGCTGCCTCTGTAGCTGTGATAGCCTCCGCTCCTACTCCTGCTCTGTAAGGACGTCAGGGTTTGGCCCTCCGGAAGGTTTGCCTATTCACTCTGAATAGGACCAAGCATGAAAGCAAGGAGCAACGAATTGTAGCGGGGAGATCAGTTAAAGTGTCTGGTTGGCAAACAGAGCAATCGGCACGTGTGTGGATGTTGCTGACTATTTTCAGAAGGGCCTAGAAAATGGGCATCAGGACAGGACCTCTGCCCAGAAAGGGTGGAACTGACATCTTCTGGCACAGGAAAAGGGAACCTGGACCAAACCTTAGTGAGACTATCCTGCTCTGAGCAGGCCTTGTTCCTCACAGCTGGCACGGGGTGAGGAACAGCTGTATATTAACAGCTACCATGACAAACCACCAGTGCAGAGCCTGGCACCAGAGACCCCAACACACCAGTTCCCTGGATAATGTATTTGCATAATTGTCATTTTCTTATGGACCAGATCTGGAGGGCCTCACTCCAACTGGGTCACTGGTCACTGGGCTAATTCCCCAAGTCCATGCTCAGCCCTTGCTCAGGCAAAGCCCCAAGTGAAGCCAACCACAGATGCTGGAACAGATCCTCAGCCGGTGTAAATTGTCCTTGGCCCTTCATCGCACGACAGCAGCTGAGGATCTGTCCCACAGAGCACAGACAGAGAAAAAGGCGGCAGGATTCGGTGCTAGCAGTTTAATCTGTTTCTGCTTGAAACAGTCTGTGGTTTCTCTGGTTTGTTACATTCTCCAGACAAAGTAGCAGTTAACCATGAATGTGAGACAAACCATACAGCACTATGCTCCTGGTCCATTCTGCACTGCCTGCCTGCACCAGCCGCACGGCCCATCCATAAAGCATGGATTGTATACAGCCTCGGGGCTCAAAATGGAGTTGGCGCTCCTCAGAGTTGTCAGGGGGAGAGCCGGGAAAGATGAAGTCCTGTTTGTAGGCCTGGCAACAAAAGTATCTTCCCCTTTCCCCATGGCTCTGCCTCAGCCCTGATCTAAAGGGACCTCCCTCCAGGATTCAGTCAGATCAGTTATTCTCCATTCCAGGGAGCCGGTCTGTGTGGGGCCAGGTGGGTAGGAGGGTTTTTTAGGTATGGCTACAGGACTAAGAGCCTCCCAGCCAGGCCCAGAGAAAGCCCTAGAGACGAAAGGCCCCACGCCCCAGACCCTGGCATCTCACCCCCCATTCAAAGCATTCTAGTCTCACGTGTCGTGCCAGCCTACCTGTGTGATGTCTTGCGCGCAGCGTGGGGTCTGCAGCCTTGCCGAAGGAAAGTGGTGGTCTGTGTCAGACTCTGTATTGCCTGGTGAAGTCGGCGTCTCTTCTTGATTGTGTATTAAACCATCGTTTAAGGTCGAATCTCCCTCACCACTGGGATCTTTTCCATCTCTCATTGCTCCTCCATTAGCTGCCTGTTTCAGGGAGGCGGGGCATCCCAGGGGTGCCTCAGCAAAGCTCACGCTCTTCCTTACCTTTGGGTGCCCAATAGGTTCCCCCTGGGGCTCTAGCCCTGCTCCGTTCCCCAGGGGGGCACTTCTCTCTTCTCTTCCAGTTCCATCCCGCAAGGCCCCTTCTGGACACAGAACAGCCTCTGCCAGACCTTCTCTGGGTGGGTGTCTCTCTTCCTTCTCTGTTTCTCTACCATTTCCATCTCCCCTAGCTTCATGGTCTTTGTCCTCAACAACATTTAACGGGTCACCCCTAGGGCTGTCTGCAGTGTCTTCCACTTTCTCCCCTGTGTGTGCCTGAGCTGGCACTAGGTTCTCCTTGGGGGAGGTATCCACCACTGGGTTTTGATCCTCTAAATTCAAATGACCGAGTGTTATATTTTCTATGCTGCCTTCCTGGGCTTCCTCTCTTGCTGGTACCAGTATCTCCGGACTGGATGTGTCCACCACTGAATTTTGGTCTCCCTTTAAATGCTCCTCTACAATCTTGTTTACAATATCTCCTTCTGACTCCTCATGCGCTGGCTCCATGATCTCCTTGGGGGAGGTGTCCACCCCTGAATGTTGATCTTCATTTAAATGACCCCTTATATTGTTGTCTATAGTTTCTTCCTCATTCTTCCCTGTTTCCTCGTTGGCTGGAACCACTGTCTCCTTAGCAGAGCTAGCGACCGCTGTATTGTTCTCTCCATTCTCAGTCACTGCAATCTCTCCCATACAACACAGCTCTTCTAGGGTTGCTGATCCCACCTTTGTGTTTTCATCTGCGTTCTCCATGTCTCCTTCTGCTTCATTCTTCGCTGAGAAGGTTTCTGCCTGCTGCCAATTCTCACCACTCTGCTCTAATTCCTTGGGGAGTCTTTCATTCCCAGTTTCACAGTGTGTCTGCTCTGCTAGCTCCCCAGAAGTCTCTGGGCTTCCACCTTCTTGTGCTTCTGCTGCATTTGAGTAATTTTCAGTCTGTAATCTAACCCCTCTCACTTCCTTATCTAGACACACTCCAGCACCTTTGGGCTGGAGCTGTCTCAAGGATTCTTTGATGCTCAGAACTTTAGTACTAGTCTGACAAAGGTCTAGAGCTGCTAATAGTCGTGTACCCTCGCTCACATCCAGGTTTGCAAGAGGGCTGCTCACAGATGCACAATCCAGGTAATGTTTCTTGGCTAGACTTCGTATTTCCTCTGTCCTTTCACCCTGAATCCTCCATTTCCTGGAACTGGAGGGAGGAGTCTCATCCACGGTCTGCCCTTCTCCCATCCCAGCTGAGCCTTCAGACAAGTCCCACTTAGTTGCTCCTGTGCATTCCTGCAGAGCCAATAAATTACTGGTAGAATCGCTATTTGATAGGTTTTCCATGTTACTCACTGAGAGCAAAGTGGGGCATGTCTGGGTTCTGTCCTCCAGGCCCACAGCTGCCTGTTGACTTTCTGCTTCTGTGGAGGGAACTCTGTCTGTTATGTTTGAGTCAGGGAGTTCAAAATCTGCCTGAGTTTCTTCCAATACAGGCTTGGCCTGATCATCAGCAGTTTCTACTTCTTCTGTTTCCACCTCTTGCCCTTCCGTTGGATCTTTAGATGGTGCTAAATGATTTGGCCCAGTACAAAGTTCTCTTGCTTGGGCTGGGCTCTCTAGAGGGCTGGTCTCCTTTTCATGGTTCCCTTTAAAGTCGTTCTCTGCTTCTGGTTCGAGTGCTGCTGCTCGGAAGGGATCTGGCGCTGTCTCCTCCAGCGTGCCTGGCAGCCCCACACATGACTGAGGCTCAGGACATGAAGGTAACTGCTCCTCGCCCTGATCTTTCCCACTGGCTGTTTGCGTCACTGGCTCTCCATTGATCCCACCTTGTTCCCTGGCATTTTCTTGTGACTTCAATCCACCAAAGAACGACTTGCGTCTCATCAGCTTCAGGACGTCGGAGGGCCTCCGGGAGGGGAGCCTCATGGAGCCGCGCAGCTCCCGGGAAGCCGCAAACATGGGCGCGGACTTTCGCCTCATTTGTTTCAGGAAGTCGGATGTTTTTTTTGCCCTCATCTGGGGACCATAGGGGACGGAGTCCCCCTGGACACTGGTGTTGACCCCAGGTCCTTGGAGCTCAGGCTGGCCAGCAGGGAGAGGGCTCCCCGTCTGATTCTTTGGCGACCCCGTTTGCTCTTCCCGTTTGCTCTCCTCTGCTGGCAGGACAGGCTGGCTGGCTGGCTGAGCCATCATGTCCATCTCCCTGCCCGCTCCTGATTGCACTTCCCTCCCGTCCAGGCTCTGACTGGGCTGGGGCGGTGTTTCCTGCTCGTGGTGGCTGCTGGTGGAGGCCTTGTAGAAGGAGCCTTTGTGGTCATGGTGTGGCTGTTGGATCAAGAGGAGGAGAAAGGTTTAGCGATAGCTGCAGCCTCTTGTCGAACACCCAAATCTAAACGGCGACCTTATGAAACCCACCCTTGTCTAACCCGGAGGAGCCCTGGGGGCAGATCCCCAGCTGGTGCCAATGAAATCAATGGAGCTGTTCCAGCTGACACCACCAAGGACCTGGCTCAGAGCGTCACCTGATCCAGAATGGCCAGGCAGGGAGGCAGGAAACGCCTGAGCACTGTCCATGCAGCGCAGCCTATGGAACGTTCCCCCTGCTGAAGCAGATAACAGTCAAGCACAGGGAGAGCTGAGGCCCAACCCCCCGCCTGCTTTCGCCCCCCCCCGCATACCCAATCCTGCCCACTCCCACTCCCAGCACGCCCGGTCCTGCCCACTCTCCCCCACAGCACGCCCGGTCCTGGCCACTGTCCCCCTCAGCACGCCAGGCCCCGCCCACTCTCCCCCCTCAGCATATCCGTTCCCACCCACCATCGCCCCCTCCAGCATGCCAGGTCCCGCCCACTCTCCCCCCTCAGCATGCCTGGCCCCACCCACCGTCGCCCCTCCAGCATGCCTGGCCCCACCCCCGCTATTGCCCCCCCCAGCATGCCTGGCCCCACCCACCATCGCCCCCCCAACATGCCTGGCCCCACCCACCATTACCCCCCCAGCATGCCTGGCCCCGCCCCCACTTCAATGTCACGCCAGGCCCAGCAGGGGTTGTTTGAGGGGCAGGCGGCCTCATGCCCCAGGCCACATGTTCCCCTTCCTGCGCGGCCCCCCTCGGGGGAGCCAGCCTGGCCTCTAGGAAACGACAATGAGCTTTGGTTGCTGCTTACTGATGAGACATGTCCTTCCTCCTCCTCCTCCTCTTCCACCTCTTCCATCACCTCTGCCCTGGCCTCTGCGATCAGCTCCCGCAGGGGCCGCTTCTCCGTCACCTCTGCCACGAAGGGGTGCTGAGGGGAAGCAAGGGACCCGTAAGGTGCAGATCTCCACAGAGACAGTCTCTGGGTGCCAGGCTGGGGGGCCGGCGCCCAGCCGTCCTGCCTGCACCTCTCGGTGGGAGCTCCGCACGTGCAGGCGGGAACCTGAGTTTCGCTGCTGAGGGAAGTGAGGGGTTCTGGGGCACAAGAGCGCACAAGGTAACACGGGAAAGTCCCCTCCCCTGCCCCCCCCCCCAGTCCCTGTCCCTGCCCCTGCCCGGTGAGGACGTGGCCGCGGGGGGATGTCCCACCTGCAGGAGCTGGCTGGCTGACCACCGGACCTCTGGATTCCTCTCCAGCGATTTTCTCAGAAAGTCTTTAAACTCCTCAGACCTGCAGGACACAGCGATGGATTGAAGAGGCGAAAACTCCTCCGTGCTGCTCAGCCCCTGAGCTCTGCTTCTAGCTCTGTGCTCCCGGCCCAGGACCCCCCTTTAAGCCTAGACAGGTGGTGGGTAGAAGGCCCAGCTTGTGGCTAAGAAGTGGCCCGGAAGCTGGAACTCCTAGGGTCTAGTCCCAGCTCTGCCACTGATTCACTGCATGACCTTGGCCACATCCCTTGCACTTGTTTTGGCTCTATGCCCCAGCAATGCTGTACCAAGCCCCAGGCTGTGGTTTGCCATACTTCTGCTCCCTGGAGCTATGGGTTCAAAGCTCCAGACGGGGGGCTCAGCCATTTGTCCTTCCCAGGTGGACAGCTGGATCCCCTGCTATTTAAGGGCCTTGTGAACGGAGCCCTGACTGTTGTGAATGGACAGCAAAAGCCTCCAGGCATTTTTAGTAAGAGTCAAGGTTCACGCCAGTATTGGTGGTCAACCTTTTCCTTCGTCCCACTTGCATGCTGGTGCCCACCCAGAGGTGCTGCATGTCTATGCAGTTTGGGAATCGCTGGAGGTGAGCACCCTTGTAAATCACTGTCGTGACCCTGGAGGTGGGTTCCCAGCACTACATGTGTCGGGGTTCCTTGGTCAATGTACTCACCATCTCTTGGGACAGCGCAAGGTGGGTGGCTGGGACTTGGAGATTTTCAGCAGCACTCTCATGGGGTTCAGCTCGTGGTAGGGGGGCTCCATCTCGGCCATCTCGATCAGGGTGATCCCCAGGGACCAGATGTCAGCCTTGTAGTTATAGGGGTTCTCCTTTGAGGTCTCACACTGCACCACTTCTGGAGCCATCCTGCGCCCAGGGAGAGAGATGAGCTCACAATGACCTCTGCCCTGGTGCACATGTGGGTTTCCCCATCAGCATCTCCCTGAGCATTTGCTGTCACCAGCCCCATTAGAGCAGCAAACAACGAGAATGTCAGACTGTCTTGAGAGTGGCACAGAAATGAGGATGTGTTCTGCATGGATCCCACCCAGCCCTGCCCAGCTAGGGGACAGTACCTGTGCCATGAGTGGGTGCCAGGGGTCTGTCTCCTAAAGTGAGGAGAGTGAGGACAGGGGCATCTGCCAAGGTGAGGTGGTTCCTTGCGGGGTGCCCCATTTCCGTGCTCAGGGCCACAAGCCATGCTCGTTCTGAGCTCACCCCAAGGCTGCAGATGCTATCCCAATCTCTTCGGGCAGCCAGAATTCACCACATCCTGCACCTGCCAGAGCTGGTCAATTTATTATGGGGGGAAAATCGCTGTTTCTGTTTTGTCAACATTGCCCGTGAAACTTTTCACATTTTTCAAGGAAAAGCCAGACTCAGAAACAGACAAAAATTGTTTTCTGAAAACCAGTTAAAGTTTTTTTAAAAAGCGTTTTTCAAAATTAACAAGCAAGTTTTTACCGAAAGCCAACAATTGTTACCAAAATGTTTTCAGCTGCTGATTTTTCATCCAGAACCCTTTTTTCTGCTACATTTTCCTTTTCAACAAAAAGCCACTTTTTGCTGAAATTATGTCAATGGAAACCAGTGTCCCCTCTTTCAAGTCCCTGGAGCTCAGCCTACAGCCGGAGGGACAGAACAGAACATTTCCGATCTGCCACCGTGTCCACAGGCTCCAAAGGCCAGTAGAAAACAACTTTGTTCCCAAGTCCATTACCCACAATGCCCTGCTGTTCCCAGGCAGTGCCTGCACATACCAATATGGTGTCCCAAGGAAGGATGCCCGTCGCTGCAGGGTTTGGGCGTTTTTGGCAGAGACTCCAAAATCAGCTACGTCATAAAGAGAAGACAAGACGATCAATGACTAAGCGTGGGCAGTTTTACTGTCTCCAGGGCCGAACTCTCTGTGGGCGTAACTCCATAACACAGGGGCATGGCACGACTCTGCTGACTTCAGTCACTTCACTGCTGCCGGTGGAGTTACGTCAGCCGAGCATGCGGCCCAGCAAGAGTGTGACCCTGTGTTCGCGCACACTCCTGCTACAGCCACTCTGGGAATACGGTGCACCTGGCTGGCTGTGTCCTATATCGCCTGCTGATAATTCAGTGGAATGCGTCATACAGTAGAACCCGAAGGCTCTTAACTTCTTCTAGTTACACTAAGGCCTTGTCTACCCTAGAGAGGAGCCTCTACCAGGAAAGCTACGCTGGCAACCCCTCTGTGCCAGCAAGAGTCCTTTTGCTGGCATAGCTTATACCAGTTCCCCAAAGGAAATAGGCTATGCCAGCTGGCAAAAGGACAGTTTTGCCAGCATAACTGTGTCTACATTGGGGCTTTTGCTGGCACAGCTATGTTGGTTGGGAGTGGATTTTTTCACACTCCTAACCGATACAGCTCCTTTGGCAAAACTATTGAGGGCAATCAGGCCTAATTTTCTGTCTCTCCCCCACCCCAGCACCACGCTTACAAAGCAACATGTACAGGCAGAGATGGTCAGCAGCAATTGGGTTCCTGCCCAGAGCTGTGTCTAGATTCCCCTCATCGCCTATGAAGATCTCCTCCCTCCTGAATATTTGGGCTGTGCTATTAAACCAGCCTTGCAAACCTCCTTACAGTGGACACAGAATCCACTCCCCTCTTCCCCCCTCCCCTTGGGCTGCTGCTCATAATGACCAGGTTAATAGCTGAAACACCAATGGCTGATGGAGGAGGAGGAACCATTGTACTGGGGTCCTGAGCTCAGGGGGCACCCCAAAACATTTGTAATGTCTGTGTAAATGAAGTGAAATGGGCGAGGCTGGGGCAGCAAACGTAATGGGCCAGGACCCCACTTTTCTCTCGATGGGCCAGAACACCTGCCAAAAAGTTCCAGAGTGGAAGAGCGCAGGCTGCATCACACACCCCAATGGGTTTACACCAAACACAAGTTAAGGCTGACCAACCTCATGCACTTACTGTGAGGAGAACAGGAACTGAACCTATTGCCTGTATATTTCAGAAGCACTGGGGAAAGATGGCGCAGGCAGCTCCCTGCACTCCAGCCAGTCACCCTCCTAGAGCAGGATACTCGGGTGTTGTACTGCTACTGAACACGACACACCCCACGCTCAGCCCGCCCACGTCTCTTCCCCACAGTCTCACCCAGCTTGACATCTCCTTCCAAGGTCAGCAAGACATTCCCAGCCTTCAGATCCCTGTGGATGATCTTGCAGCTGTGGAGATACTGCAGGGCCAGCAGGATCTGCTTACAGGCCACTTGGATCTGCTCCTCCGTCAGACCCTTCTCCAACTCTGCAATCAGAGACACCCCTGGGGAGTCAGTGTAGTAGCTAAAGCCCCACAGTGCTCTGGGCATGGGGCACGGCGGGAGACACAGAGACAGGTTCAGGTCTGGGGTTACAGTTGGCCCAATTAGTACAGGCACTAAGGTAGTACCTCACCAGGGATGGGGACTTCAGCTGGGATCAGGGCCCCATTCTACGGGCACTGCACAGCCACAGAGCCAAAGCCAGGCCCTGCCCCAAAGAACCTGCGCTCTCAATAGACAGCCAGACACGGGGGAGGGGGGCGGGGGAGGGAGGGGAACTGAGGCACAACGCAACTCGCCCAAGGTCACAGTGAGCCTGCAGCAAGACAGGAATTTCAGCCATAGAGCCCATGTGGCTGTCCCAGCCTTAACCACAAGCCCTTCTTGTCTCTGTGCCTTAGTTGCCAATCTGTCAAATGGGAAGGGTGCTCCAGGGCTGTTGTGAGATGTTGTAAGAAGCAGGAAGATTGGGGGTGAAAAGAGCTCTAATTAGTGCCAAGCACACTTGCATTTTCGCCCTGGCTGGGGTTTCGTGACACAAATCCTAGGAGTCAATGGCTGGGGATGAATATGACACTGGAGGGGGAAAGGGAATTTAGGGGCTTGTCTATACAAACATTGAGTTGGCGGCAAGCTGGGGTGTAAATCTGCCCTCTGCTGGCCTGCCATGTACTACGTGTCTGTGTGGACCCTGCTGCCATGCCCTAGAAGTTCCCTACAGCCCCTTGAGAGGGCCTGGAGCACTGGGCCTGGGACAAGAGCTGAGGCCGGAACCAGAGGCTGTGAACCAAAGTCAGGCCATGGATTAAACCAGATGCTCTCAAGTTCCCTGTCGAGGACATGAACTTGGCACAGTTGTTGCTAGTGTCCTAGAGATTTACGTCAATATAGCCCAGCTAGTGCAGATACAGCCCCATCTAGTACAAGCTTAGGTGGTTTGACAAAACAATGGGTAGGGCTGTTTTGTCCAAGATACCAGGAACAATGCTCCCCCTCTCACTGTCCTCTCCCTCCTTTGCCCCTTCGCCCCCCTAGCCATGCTGCTCCGCCATATCCCCCTCGGCGGGGCGCATCCTGCCCCCAGCGCCATGCGGAGAACCAGCCCCTGGTCGGAGCGCTCAGCTCACCAGCAGCCTGGCCGGCAGGCTCCGTCCTTCCCCCACTGCCTCTGGCTGGGCTGGCGCCTTGGGAAATCCCACGACCCTCTGGCCCGGGGCGCTAGCCAGGAAGAGCCGAGCCCTGTACGTGCCAAAGCCCCGCACAGCGCTGGCATGGGGAAGCCTCCTCGCCCCGCAGCTAAGCTGTGGAGTGGCGGGAGGGGGAGAGGGGGGAGAAGCGATTTCCAGCCTGTTCACGCCCTGTACCTGCAGGCTCCACAGCAGCCCCCAGGGCAGGGGCTTAGATCCCTCTTTCCCCCCAACCCAGGTCCTGCTCCCAGGGACCACGGGGCTGCTGCGTCCCCCAGGCACCCTCCCCTGCTGAGCCACCTCTCTGGCTGGGTTCGCTGAAGCCTCTGCAGTCTGGTCCCCTGGGCCCTGGTGCACAATGCAGCCTTAGGGCTTAACCCATTCCTGCCCATGCTGTAGCCAGGGGGGACAGGTGGCAGCTGGGTTATGTTGGTGGCTAGCAGCAGCCTGGAGGTGTTAGCTGCCTTTTGACACTGTGCGGACAGGAAGGGACAAGCAGCTTCCAGCCACAGGGGAGCTGGGGGCGGAGGAAGAGATGAGCTCTGCAAAGACACAGGCCAGGTCATGCCTCCCCACCCCCTCCCCAGTGACTGGAAGCAGCTCCAGTCCCTTCCCTCCCGCACAGTGCCGAAAGGCTGCTGTTGGCCACGTTCTGGTGTGAACTCTGGCATAAATCGGGTGGGGGGGGCATGTGATCCTGCATCCCCCCCAGGTACCGGGAGAGGCGAGTCCATCCCGGGGGTCCAGCCAGGAATGGAGGGTGGAGAGTGCCAGGGAGGGTCGGGTCGGTCAGTCACCCCCCCCTTGTGTGAGAGAGGTGTACAGGTGTGTGTGTGTGTCACCTCTACCCGCGTGTGTGTGGAGGGGGGATGGGAGGCTGTCATCCCTCCCTGTGTGAACCCTAAAGCCTTAAAGATAAGAAGGTAAATAAAAAGAATCCAGCTACGCGGTATTTCTTTTTAACGCAGGCTCAATCAACTCGACGTTAATTTGTCCTGCATAATTCTGAGTGATTGCCGTTGAACTCGCTTGAATACGAGTAATTTTCCCAGGTGTTTCGTATTCAGCATAGGGAAATACGGTCACCCTCTACTTACCCAGGATTGCTGCATCCACTGCTCCTCCTGGGCAAAACTCAATCAGGATCTGAGGAGAGAGCAGAGTGTCAGAGCAGAGAGCCACATTAACAGCACAGCTTCCAGTCTCAGCATGCCAGGGGTGGGGCGGGCAGCGTCAGCAGAGGGCGCTGGCTTGTATACTTCACCCAGGGGGAGTCCCTGTTCTTCCCACCCAGAGAGCTTCACCTACCTGCTAGTCTCTCCTTCATCGCCATCACAGCCTCAACCATTCCCCTTTGCTGCTTGGCTCTGATTGCCTTGTGGTGCCAGTGGCCAAGCAAAGGCCAAGTTTCCCTAGACTTCCCTCCTACATCTCTGCTTTTAGTCACATCAAAAGACTGATTCCCTCCCCCCCCCCCCCCGACACACACACACTCACCTATTCCTGCACCCACCCTTCTTAGAGGCTGGCTGGTAGAAATATTCATTGCTGCCTCTGGATTGCTACTAGAGCTGGTGGCAAACCCACCATTTTCCCCATAAGAAATGTTGAATGAAAAGTCTTTCTCTGAAACATTTTGGTTGGACGATGCTGGGTTCCTGCGAGAAGTTTCCAGCCCAACCAGAACGATTGCAAATGCAGGGCCTAGGAGACTGGGTGCAGCCGGTGTGTGTGTGGGAGGAGTTCTGAGAGTGACCCTGAGAGGAAGCAGAGCGATGGAGCTTCTTGGGCACAGAGACTGTGGGAGGGGGAGGCTGGGGGATTCCTGAGCATGGAGCTGCATGCTGCTGTTCATTCCAGCAGCCTGATTATTTACTAAACTGACCAATTAAAAAACAAAATCTATTCTGTGTTAAACCTCCCGTTAAATCTCATGCCCTGGGGTTACCTTTGCGGGGTCTCTCTGCTCCCCTGTGGATGTTTAAAGGGTCTTTTGAGCAAAGCACCACACATGCTCTGGCCCACCCCTCCTCCCCTTCTCTGTCCACACCTAACCTGCTACCTCTTTAGCGGCAGTTTCAGCTTTGCTGCTGCATTGCTGGGAACGTTCCCTGCCGAGGCCTGGGAAAGGGCGTGCCCAGAGCGGCACACGAGAGACAAGTTATGGAGGTAGGAAGTGTGCTTGGCCAGCAACAAGAGTGAGGCTGACACCACTCGTTGCTGGGAGTAGCTGTTCCTTCGTTACCTGCGAAGGAACTGTGGGAACGTTCTCCTGCTCAAACGCTCACGCAGCTGACTGTGGGCGGGGTCAGTTAGCTCTTTCCAGGGCTTTGCCTCCCCCTCTAGCTTTCATCCTAAGGCTCACCAGGGAACGTGGCCTGGGGCACGCCTGGCTCTGAGATCACCCACACTGGGAGGTAAGGCCAGCCCGCCTGCCCCCACAGCTCACCCACAGCCTGCTGTCCCAGTACAGTGCATCCAGCAGCTTGACAATGTTTGGGTGATCGCAGCAGGCAAGGATGTCTATCTCCACCACGTAATCTTCCAGCTCCTCCTCACTCTGAGTGTCAATCACCTTCGCAGCAGCCAGAACCCCCGTCACCTTGTTCTGTGCCTGTTGAGACAGATTGAACACGTACAAAGCAACGCAGTTATGAATCAACCAAAAGCTCTGCCCAGCCACCTTGGGAACAGCCAGAAGCTGAGAGTCAGCACTGGAAAGTCTCCCCAGCACCCTCAGTTCACATTACTTAGCACTTTCCACATGAGGATCTCAAAGCACTTCCCAAATGTTATACTCGCAGTGTCACTGAAATGCAACCACTTCTGGAGTGGAGGCTGGCAGCCAAGTAGTGCACAGCACAACTGTAGGGAGAGGGGAAATCTAGCAAACAGGCAACAGGGCAAATCCAAACTCTCACACAGAGCAATTTGATTGCTAAGGCAACTCTCTCAAAGGTGCATGCACGGCGTGCAAAGTATCGATCAAGCTGTAAAAACTAAAGGGTCAATTTCTTCCCCACTGAGCTGTGAACCCTCGATTCCCAGCTCCTGTAAGCGAATCTGGCTCTCTCCTCCAGGGAGCTGAGTGACAGCTAAGGCTCTGTAAGCAGCCACACAACTTGTCAGTGGGGGAGGAGGCAATTGTTGAAGGCTCAAAGAGGAACCACAGAAGGCTCCATATATACGATGTCTCCAGATCAAATCTGCTCAGCTTACAAGTAAAAAGCCATTTTTCCTAACAGCTGCCCCTGCAAATGCTGTCCAGGATCTGAGAGTCAAGCTGGGCTCTTCCTTCTCGCACATCCTGACCAATAAGAAAGCTCCTGCAGGTCACATCCTACGCTCAGCCCCATTGGTGCCACCCCCTCATGCGACTGCAGCTTAGCGAACAATGCTCTTGCTGCGGCTCAGTGCTGGGATAGATAGCTTCCCAGCAGGGGCCGTTACAGCGTGAGGACATGCTCACATCTAGAGTAACATCTAGGGACGTTCAGGAAGTGCTTAATCGCACAGCTCAAGGAGCTGGTGACCAGCTCTCCCATCCTGAAATGTGAAGAGGCAGCCATGCAACGTAAAGCCAGTGAGACAGGTTTGGGGCATCACTCCTACCAAAGGGACTGCTCGTAGTTTTTAGGTGACTATCATCAATGGACCAAAGACACTTCCACACTGGAAAGACATGTCTTGCAATACCATTCCCATGTGTGTTCACAGATGGAAAACCTTTTGAGTAAACAGTGACCCTACACCACCAGAGAGCATTTTTTAAAAGCCACTGCTAGCGGCCCCAGAACGCCTTCAGCACATGCTACTGAAACTGCAACTATAGCTTAGCTGTACACTACAAGGAACGGACTGAGATGGACGCAGCTGGCTGTTTATCCAGAACAGCCCTGCAACAGGAAACTACAGCCACTGAACCAGAATGTGAGACAGAGAGACACAGTTATCTGCCAGTTTCAAGGCAGAAGCTGGAAAGAATCTGAGAACAAACTATACAGATTTACCAGGGCTCATGTCCGTCATTCTGTCAGGATGGCCAGACGCCAGGCGAGAAGCTGCACCTGCCTCTCAAGAATATTCAAACTACTGAGATGATATGAGTGTACAAGACAGCATCATATATAAAGGGAGTCGAATCATAACACTGAGAACATAAAAGAACAGGAGTACTTGTGGCACCTTAAAGACTAACAAATTTATTTGGGCATAAGATTTCTTGGGCTAAAATCCACTTCATCGGATGCATGCAGTGGAAAATACAATAACAAGATATATATACACAGAGAACATGAAAAAATGGGTGTTGCCATACCAACTATAACGAGACTAATCAGTTAAGGTGGGCTATTATCAGCAGGAGAAAAAAAACGTTTGTAGTGATAATCAGGATGGCCCATTTCCAACAGTTGACAAGAAGGTGTCTGAAGAATACATCAGAGTCATTCTATAATCGAAGCCGGTCTTGGGAAAGCCAGAGATGCTGTATCCTGGCCAAATATGACCAAGGATATCAGAGACCTGGTGAGCAGTTGTGACAGGTAGAGAAATGCAGGTCAAGCAACAAAAATACGCAGTGAAAATGTACAACTTCCCCATAGAGCTTGGAGCAAAGTAGGGATGGATCTTTTCACGGCAAATCACACAGACGACCTCATTGTTGTAGACTGCTGTTCAGACTCCTGGGAATGAGATGAACTGTCAGAAACTATCACAGGGACCATCACAGATACAACAATGAAGCACTTCAGTGAGCATGGGACCCCAAACTGTGTCGTTTCAGACAACGGACCCAGTTTACTTGCAGTGAGTTTGTGCAATTTTCCCAGCAATGGGAATTGAGTCCCATCACAGCATCACCCACAGATAGGCACATGGAAAAGCTGAATTGACAGTGAAACTTGCTAAAACTCACCAAACAAAGGAAGGGTACGGCAAGCCGTTCCTTGGCGGAAGAACACGCCGACAGAAGGAATCAGCAGCAGCCTGGCACAAGGCTTGATGTCAAGAGGCACATGTACCTTGGTGCCCACAGCCCCAGCATTAATATAGCTGGCAGGGTTAGAAGGAGTAACAGACAAAAGGAGAGAGACATGCAAAGGCCAAAGCTGACTATGACTAACAAGCTGAAGACCTCCCAGTACTACAAGTGGGAGATCCCGTCAGGATCAGACCATTTCCTCAGGACAAACATGCACTTGGAAGCAAGCTCCATGTGTTGAACAGATGACTCCTCGTTCATATAGTTCAGCACTGGCTGAGGAGATATTGCACTGAAACCACAAATCTGTACACCCACAATGAACACAAGAGATCAACAGATGTGACGGATGGTGCAACACGCTCGCCGCTGAGATTTGATCAGCAGGACAGGGAAGGAACACAAGCCAATGACCTGACTGTGGAGATCAAAATAGACCCTCAAAAGACTACACCCAACAACAGCCACGTGCAAGGCTTCTCCTGTCATCACAAGAAGGATTTGCACTAGCTCCAACATCAAACTGCCTGCAAGTTATACACAAGACTTGGTGCGACACGAAGGCATGAAAGACCAGCCCTCCTAGACCCAGACGGAAAATACCTGAGTTGCCAAGCAAGTTGGTATATATATATACAAAGTTGGTAGGAAGTTGTGTTACATTACATATACGATGCGACAGATTGGTAGCTTTTTTGTCTGCCGCTGCACATTGAGCAGATTTTTTAGAGAACTCTCCACAATGACTCCAAGATCTCTTTTTTGATGGGTAACAGCTAATTTAGATCCTGTAGTAGGAAGAGAGCCTGAGACTCAAGCCCTTGTATCAGAGGCCTGGTATGAGGCTGGACCTGCTCACAGAATCTGGCAAGGACAGGGCTGATATTGCAGAAACACACATTCCTAAGAAGTGCTAGGCACAGAGCTCTCACGCAAACACATCCCAATATCAAGTGGAACCAGACCATCCTGAGATCAAGGATGGTCCCTGAGGATAACAGGAACACGCTGACCCCTCCTAAAGATAAGGTCAGGATGACAGTACGTAATAAAGATGTTTTAATCAAACCAACATGTACAAGGAGACGGGTGATAACTCGCCATGTCAGGGGGCAATAACTAACTACATCAGAGGGGTAGTACTAGCTTGTTTGTATTGGGGTATAAAGATGTATTTCAGAGAAAGTATCTTTGTCTAGCCTAGTGAGGAATGGAAAGTCCTGCCGTTCACTGAGCTGGTCCATTGTTACAGGCATACATGTATTAGTGGGCCGGCAGAGTCTGTGGGATACTAGTACTGTGCTTTGCCAACAATAAACCTGGCTGGGTGCCTTTGTCCCTTAACAGATCTTGTGGTCATTGGGGGGTTCACATGAGGTCTGCTGTGTGAGCTGTCTGTGCAGGGCTGGGGCAGCACATATGCAGCTAAACATCTATTAACATCTAAGCATACTGGTGACCCTGACCACTATCTGGTAAGTAAGTGAGCTTTTTGCATTTTAGATTAGTAAGGGATTTGAACTCACAATGAGCAAGCAACACACAGGTTTAGCAGGTAGAACAGTCCCCCTTGAGCTATTCAGGGCCTGTAAGGCAGAGCTCACATTCCCTTAATGTCTCTCTCTGCACATCCTCCGCATCCTCCAATTGGCACATGAGCCAGAACTGCCTGTGGAGACCCAAACTTTTTTTGTAATAACACTGTAACTTGGTTTCCCCCCAGAGCCAGTGAGTGGCGTGTTCTCTGTTGGGGTAGCCCTCAAGCATCTGGGACACTGGTACGACCATCTCAGGCTCAGCCCTGGTTTGATCTCTATCTGTGCACAAAAAAAGTTGCCAAAACATGTCAACTTTAAGAACAGCTGTTTTTTGTGGACGCTGTATCTCAGAAATCACTTGGGCAAGTGGCCCCAAATTAGGATCACTGACCAAAACTTGGGGCTCCATGAGGCGCCCCGAATTTCAAAGCAACCTGAGTAGCCCTGTAAACTTGAGAGCACTCAGAAGAGTCAAGCTTTACACAGTGAGTTGGTCTTAACCTTAACTCTAGCATCTGGGAATGTGGAGAACTCTCCTTTCAGGGCGTGCTTGAGGGGAGAGGCCCGGAGGTGTAGAGGAAGGAATCAAGCCTGGATTTTGCCCAGCCTTGGCTCCCTCTCCCAGAGCAGGGCTGGCCCGGCAGGGCTACGAGGAGTGAAAGCCGCAAAGAATTATTAGGCCCAAGAGTCAGCAGCTGTGACTGACACACGCAGAGGGTGGAGAGCTGCTGACCGGAACGTCAGACACACTCTCCAACTCTTCTGGGCACCTGGGCTCTTGCCAGCAGCTCCCTGCTGTGCAGCTGCAGTTTGCTGGATTTGCCGGCTGGCGTTCTCCTCGCTGGAGCTCATGCCTCTGCGAGATCAGTGCTCCGGGAAGGCTGGGTGTAGCGGGCAGAGGTGCCAGAGTTAAACCTCACAGCCGGGCTGAACAGGGCAGCGTGGGACTGCCTGTGGAGGCCTGTTTTGGGGCAGCCCTGTTCCTTCCCCTCCCCTCTCTCAGCACAGAGCGTGGCGGAGGAGCCGAGACATGTGCACTCTGGTGCATGTTCACGGCCCAGCGGAAGTCATTGTGGTTTCTTAATTACCAGC